AGACTAGAGAGAGACTCTGTCTTGAAAAACCAAACCAACCAAACATACAAAACACCCAATATATTTCGATCATATTTTTCTACTTTCCCAACTTCCCCCTGAGTTAGAATCTTTATAACCTTGGTAAAAAAAAAAAAAAAAAAAAAAAAAAAAAAAAAAAAAAAAAGAACAGAACAAGAAACCAGTAAAACAAAAAGTGCCAAAACAAAATAAACCGAGGAAAAGCCTACCAAAACACATGGACTTCATTTTGTGTTGGCCAACATGGGGCTTGCTGTAATTGATACACCCAGGAACAATCCACAGGAGAAAACTGGTTTTTTGGGAGTTAATTATTTCAGTATAAAAAGGTTTTAGTTTTCCTTTTAAAGGAACTCAATTATATCTCTCCTTTTTAGTTAAGATAAAGAATAATAAAGGGCTGGGCGGTGGTGGCGCACGCCTTTAATCCCAGCACTCGGGAGGCAGAGGCAGGAGGATCTTTCTGAGTTCCAGGCTAGCCTGGTCTACAGAGCACGATCCAGAAAAGGCGCAAAGCTACACAGAGAAACCCTGTCTCGAAAAACCAAAAGAGAAGAAGAATAAAGGAACAGAAGTAAGAAACACTGGAAACTAAAGAATAAGAAAAAAATCTATTGAAATAATCTTTTGTTAGTATGTACTTCTATAATCACAACTAGCTCATATTCAACTGGCAAAATACAACTCAGATTAACATAAAAAGTTAATCTATTTGTATGTTATTTTGTCCAGGCAACTGTAGGAAAGAACTGTTATTTTATTTTTTTGAGACAGGGTTTCTTTCTCTGTGATCACTCTGGTTTGTCCTGGAACTCACTCTGCAGACCAGGCTGGCCTCGAACTCAGAGATTCATGGCCATCACCACCGCACAAGAACTGTTATTTTCAGTAACAAAAACAAGCAAGCAAAACCCCTTTAGCCTTGCAGTGACTCAAGAGAAACCCGTTCAACTTTTTAAAGAAAACAGAGTACTTGCAACCCAGTCTCTTCACAGAAAGTGGACTATGAGAGTATTCTGATTAATAGATTTACTTATTTTTGTGCCTGTCTTAAACAAATGGCAGCCTATGAGTGCAGAACTCCAATTTTACCTGTGCCATCTTCATTAATGTCAAGCCAGTCCTTCCCCTCTACTGGTTACATATATGCCTTTAAACTTTGAGGCAGCCTCAGCCACACTCAGCTACTTTATTGGGATGTCCAGATTCTTTGAAGATACTTTTATTAGTGCTCTATTTGAACTCTATATGGACTATTAGACAAACTATGTTACAAAATGAAAAATCATTTTGAGAAGGTCTTAAAATGTATGTGTGAACAATTAATGACAGGCACATAGAAAAAATGAATGCTTCATTAATTTAAAGAACTGTTTTTTCACAATCTTGAAAATATAAATGTTGAACATGGATTTAAGCAAGTACTGGAAAGATGTGAGAATTAAGTTTTCAGCAACATAGTAAAAAAATCAGTAGACATCTAAAGTGACAAAGAACTGTAAAAGATACCCCGGGTCAATTAGCAAGTGCTCTTAATGGTTGAGCCATCTTTCCAACCTCCATTTTTCTTTTACTAATATATAAATATAACCTGCTCAATTTGTATAATGTTATTTGTATGTATCATTTCAGTGATACCACTTGGTACTGGATAACTATTCTAGGAGCCTTCTTGGATAAAAATATTTCTCATGCTCCCTTAAATCCTTAGTTGTCTGTAGTTTTTTGTCTAGGGTTGAGGACTCATGAAATTTTCTTTCATGTTAGCATGTCTACTGGTGTTGCTCCAGTTCAGGTCTTATTTAAGGTACCCTTGTAGATGAGTCTTAATGGGTAAACCATTTTCCTTTTCTTTGAAAAATATTGAATTAAAAGTTTGTGTCTAATGTGCACTTGTATGTGCGCATGTGCCATGGGCACACAAATGGAGGTCAGAGGATAACTTGAAGGAATTTGTTCTTTCCTTCCACCGTGAGGGTTCTAGGAATCAAATTCAGGTTTTCAAGGCTGTTGGCAAGCACCTTTACCTGCTGAGCCATCTTACTGGCCCTAGGCAGACAGGTTCAACAAATGGCCACAGTACAAATTTTAGGGTTTAGAGCCACATGGTCTCTGCTACTGACTTCTTACCTGTTGATTGACAAAAAACTGCAAACAATATATATGAATGAGTGAGGCTGTACACTAGCAAAACTTAAAAGATAATGACTAAAATTTAAATTTCGTAGAATCTGGTATCAAAAATGAATGCTTTAAATTTGTTACACTTATCTGTATGTGTACATATGCGAGTGAATGGCAAACGTGTGGAAGTCAGGGGACAGTTGAAGGAGTTATCTAACACGGTTCATCAGATCTGGAGGCCAACACTTGCATCCATTGAGCCATCTCACAAGATGCCCAAGAGATATCTTTTGGTTTTACTTTAGCCAATAAAAAATTTAGAGACATTCTTTAACTGCTGAGCTGTATAAAAATTAGTTGTAGGAAGATTCTGGCCTTCAGACCTACAACCACTGAGAAATGGTTCATTTAGAAAAAGAATTTGTTGCTGAGCTGTAGTGGCACTCTGGTCTACAGAGTTCTAGGACAGGCAGGGCTACACAGAGACAAACTCTGTCTAAAACAAACAAACAAACAAACAAACAAAAACTCTGTGTGTGTGTGTGTGTGTGTGTGATGCATTATGTCATCACTGAAAACATCTTACCTGGTGGCATAAGTTTCATAAGCACTCTTGCTCCATCTCTAAGAGGTGGCATATTTAGACTGCTTCCTAAGTCTGCAACTTGCCAAAGGAAAGAGATGTATCTGGGATGAAGTGACATAATCTAGAATATAAAATACACAAAATAATTACCTGTAAATTATTCTTTGGATTCAAAAGGTCTCGCTAAAATTTAAAATCTCCATAGTTTGCTCCTGTTGTTCTTCCTCATCTTACCTTTACAAATTCTTCAAGATACAGACCTTACACATCATCTTAGCCACATTTGCAATAGCTTTCTATTTATTCAACTATTTCCTCTCACCTGCATATAACTTAAGATGACTCTGGACATAATGAAACTGCTACCATGCCACTACTAAATTCCTAACCAGTTTGTTCTTACACTGAAGTGGTTGGTATTATTGAAGACATTAAAGTTCTTAGGAGGAGGTTTGAAGAAGAGGTCAAGAATGGGAAATGTCACTGTTTCTTTGGATACAATTTGAGAAAGATTATAGATATTTCTCTACATACAAAGTTTTGAAAGGATCCACTTTATAGGACACTTTATAAGAGCTATAAAGTGGATCCTTTCACTTTATAGTAGCTTTCTACATTTATATATTGAAATGTTACAATTTAACTCCAATAGATTAACTATATGCAAATATAACCAAATAGTAACTACAGGGACGTTTTGTTTAAACTTTCGACTTAAAATTGCCTTTCGGGGCTGGAGAGATGGCTCAGAGGTTTAGAGCACTGCCTGCTCATCCAGAGGTCCTGAGTTCAATTCCCAGCAACCACATGGTGCCTCACAACCATCTGTAATGAGATCTGGCACCCTCCTCTGTATACATAATAAATAAATATTTAAAAAAAATTGCCTTTCAGAAGACTTTACTGAAATTTATATGGATAATTGTGTAACTATTTTGCCTCATTAAACAAAGACTTCTGCAACAACAACAAACCTTTTTTATGTACTTGTCTATTCTCAACAATTCTAGCATAATGCCTTGCACAATTGAATCTACTTACCACTCCAGGCAAACAGCTTTCCACTTCGGGGTTGGGGCCATCACTGTAGTGATTACCATGGTTTCCAGGAGATCCAGTTGAGGAATCGGAAGAGCTATCCGGACTTGAAGGCATATTGGAGCTTATTTGTGTAAGTTTGGCTGTAATTAGCTGAAAATGATACATATTAGAATTAAAGACAAGGAAAAAAAACCATATAAAACAAAACTTAGAACATAGTAATATACCAAGAACAGAATCCAATTTTACAGGGGACCTGGGTTTAATTCCCAATACCCATATAGCAGTTCACAATGCGACTCCAGTTCCAGGGAACCCAATACCTTCTCTTCTGATCTTTAAGGGCACCAGGCACACACATGGTGCATAAAACATACATGCATGTAAAACACTCATATACATTAAAAACAAAACTAGATGCTAATATTTTCAAAAGTGCATTTAAAAAGTACTCTCTCTTTTTAAAACGATTTATTTATTACGTATACAGTGCTGTTTGCATGTATCCCTGTAGGCCAGAAGAGGGAACCAGATCTCATTACAGATGGTTGTGAGCCACAATGTGGGTACTGGGATTGAACGCAGGACCTTTGGAAGAACAGCCAATGTTCTTAACCTCTAAGCCATCTCTCCAGCCCCTAAAAGGTATTCTCTTGTAACCACTTGTTTTGGATCTATTGTAAGTATCCCAATGCTTGTTTGGGTTAGAGTTATAACCCTAACATCTAACATAATTTTTAACAATGAAATATAGGCTGAGGTTCTATTAAAAATTTCTCTTTTGGTAATTATATATACTTACTGATTTATCTTTTAGATTTAATTGTCCAATCAACTTTCTGTCATCTCCAGGATCAATCAGTTCACCACCCACAAAGAGTTCAATTTTTGTATGAGCTACATTAGCTTTAATGCGATTGAGAATACATCGTCGAACTGAACCAATTGTATCATTTGTATGAGACCAAACTTCCAAGTCATCTACTTGTCTGCCTTGGTTTGGAAATCGAACTATAAAAGAGAGGTGTTTACCACGGAAAGCTCTGGTAGGGAAAAAGAAAAGGAAAATATAATATACTCAGATTTCAAAATTTAGCTGACAAGAAAATAGATGGAAATTTAACATTGAATATTTTCTTATTAAAAAAAGGAAGTAAAGCCGGGCGATGGTGGCGCACGCCTTTAATCCCAGCACTTGGGAGGCAGAGCCAGGCGGATCTCTGTGAGTTCAAGGCCAGCCTGGGCTACCAAGTGAGTTCCAGGAAAGGCGCAAAGCTACACAGAGAAACCCTGTCTTGAAAAACCAAAAAAAAAAAAAAAAAAAAAAAAGGAAGTAAACTTAAGACTTTTTAGTGCACTGAAAATAAATTTTTTAAAAAACTATAAACACTGCAATATCCAAAACAGTGAGTATATTCCATTGTTATTACTTTTATACCCATGGCTACATAAAATGATGTACTGACATGTAAGAAATCAAATGGTGCCTCATTCCAGTAATCCAGCCACTGCTGAAGTACAAGGATTACAAGTTTAAGTCCAGGAAAAGCAACTCAAAGCAATTCTGTTCAACCAGCTCCCAAAATTAAGACACACATATAGTAATACTTCATACATTTTTATGCTTGTAAAGTCTAATTCACTAATTCTTGCTCTCTATAAATGTGTAAGATAAAATTAACCTTGAGAGCATCAACAAAAAAGCTGCTATGAATTTTTCCTGAATTTTATTTATTTGTGATACAGGGTCTCACTGTGTAGCTCTGGCTGGCCTGGAACTAGCTGCTATGTAGACCAAGATGCCCTCAACTCAGATGTGCCATCCTCTGCCTGAGTGCTAGGATTGAAGGCATGTACTACCACCCAGAATTGCCTGAAAAATTCTTAACATCAAGTCACTCCAAAACTACATTATGTTGGCATATTATCTTGAATGTATGATACAAAAAAAGGAAACTATATACATCAAGGAAAAACTTTACATAAATATCTGAATTACTAAATGGTAAGACCTAAAAAGAATACTATTAGAGTATTTGAAAACATTTCCTTACTATATTGGTTACCTGATAAGTCAGTTTTAAAAATTTATCCCCATAACTTTTCAATCTGAGTATACTATTTTGTTGTTGTTTGAGATAGGGTACATAAGAACTAGGTCAGGTTCCTAGTACCTTCATGACAGCACACCTCACAGGGCTCAAGTGTCTTTAACTCCAGTCCTAGAGGATGTAATGCTTGTTTCTGATCTCCAAGGTACACACATGGAACACATACATACATACATGTAGGCAAACACTCATAAATATAAATTTAAAAAAAAAATCTTTAAAAAATGTACTATGCACTATGTTTTTTTTTTAATAGAATCTCACTACAGGGCCTTGGTTGGTCTAGAACTCATTATATGGACCAGGCTAAGTGAGCCTCAAACTTGCAATCATTTCCCTGCCTATGCCTCCTAAGCACTGGGCATGCTATAATGTTTAACAGTATAAACAACTATAAAAACTGAGGCTGAAGGGATAGCTCAGTGGTTAAGAGTGTTTGGTACACAAGCACAAAGCATGAGGATCCATGCTCAAATCCCCAGCTCCCACATTAAAAAGTTAGAAGCACTTGTAACTCTAGAAATGTGGGTGGCAAAGACAGGATGATTAGGGCTTGTTGCCAGTCTAGTTTCAGGTTCAGTGAAAGACTTTGTCTGAAGGGAATAATAAGGCAGAGCGTAAGAGAACAGGACATCCAAAGTCCACCTCTGGCTTCCATGAGTGAGCATGGTGGGGGCATCTACACACATACATGTGTATATAATACACAATTACATTGAAACTTGGGGCCTATGAGGTGTCTCAGCATGTAAAGGAGCTTGCTATCAAACCTGAGGACCAAAGTTTGGTCCCTGGGACCCAAAAAACCCAAATGGTAAAAGGTAAAGAATTGAATCCCTCAAATTGTCCTCTGAGCTCTACACTTAAACTATGGTATGTGCACGGCCACACACACAAAATAATTTGCTACACAGTGAGAATATGTTCCAATGAAACAAGCAATCCCACAAAATTTTTAAAAATGCCATATAAGCTCTGACCCACTTCCTGTCTTAGGCGTGTTTTTGTCCCTAATAAACTTCTACCACAAAAATAAACAATTTCCACAAGATACTTAAGTTGTTAAAGGGTAAGCACATTTTCAAGAAGATAAATCTCTTCTCTTTTCCTTGTACACATTATTTAAAAAAGGAAATGGTTAGGAAAATGTCAAATAACTAAGAATTAATCCCAGCTGATCAGTTATTTTCACATACCTTGACATAGGCAGAATTGTTCTTTCTTCATGGTAATCACTGTCACATTCATTTATATATTCTCTTAGAACAGTTAATACTCGAACCATTCGAACAGCTTCCTGTCTTGCACAATTAATACTGTCTTTGTCACCATCCAAAACACACAATGTGTCATAAGAGGCTTTCAAACGATCAAAGCAAGACTGAATGAAGTCTTCGTGGATCACCACCTACAAATATAATGGGACAAATAAAGACAGAGATGAGAGTATCTAACAATGCTGCTCTAAACAATAATAATATTTAAACAGACAGTCTACTATTGTTAAAAGGAAGCTAGTGTCAAATAAGGACAAATGAGATTAAAGAGAAATTTAGAGGATTATGCTACTGGTTATGAAAATAAACAGCACAGTCTTTCCTATTTCACTGTAACTATCAACATTCAAAATAATCCAACCATTTCAAGATCATTCACTTCGATAGTATTCCATATAAGACATACAAGAACTTGATATTTAAGAATATGTTTTTTGTATGTATTTTGAGGTAAAGTGTCACTATACATATAGTCCAAACTGGCTTAAAACCTGTAATTCTCCTGCCTCAGGCTCTCAGATGCCAAGATTACAGGCATATACTACCATGCCCAGTTTTTATATGTTTTAAAAAGCTGAAACAAATCAATTTCCTGTAACTTCTAATTAAAAGAAAAATATTAAAATAATTATAGTTCTAGCAACTGGAATTCTAACTGGTAGAAGTTTTAATACACTCTGATCCTCACCTGATTGACCTGCAGCCTTGGACCAAGGTTTGTGTATATCTCTTTAAGGAGATCTATAGCTCGGCTGGCAATATCATCATTACTCTGAATTACAACCTACATTAAAAAGAAAAAAGATAAAGGTTTAAGAAATGTTTTAGTTGGGCATTTAAATTCAAATCATATCCTTAATTCTTTTCAATATACTAACAACATAATGGTTAAGTCGACTAAGTAAACTTGGGACAAACAGATCAAAACAAAGAATAAATGCAAGATGCAACTTTTTGAATAAAGAAATATAAGAGTAAATGACATTTTACTACAAATAAAATATGCTTTGACCAAACACTGTGTCTTTCAAGAAGTTAGAAAGAAAACAAGCTAGTTAGAAGAAAACAAGATATTAACATAAATACAAGTTAGTACAAAAATGCTCCCTTCTGTCTCTCAGTTCTGTAATGTTTATAATTCACACCTTATTACACTGGTGGTTTTCAAATTCTGTTCCAAACTCTAGGGTTTAGATCAAGTGTGTCAGGACTGACCCATGTTTAAGAGGTTTAGAGAGGGCAAGATGAAGAAGCCTGAAGACAATGAACAAAAATACACAAGCTTCCTCTATTCAACTATGTTTATATTTTAAATTATTATGTCAAGTTTGATTACTGCTATTATTATTTTTGGAAATCAGGATCTCAATCTGCACCTGTAGCCTCAGGCTGCCCTAGAACTCAAAATACTCCACCTTCCAAGTATATACCACCCCACTCACTGTACCTAAATTGCAAATTTAGATTTATAGAAGGGTTTGTAATATTAAAATGTGGAGAAGCTTGGGCTAATCCATGGTTAAGTATGCACAACTTCTCAAGCCCTTCTACAGCTTATGAACAAAACCAAAACAAACAAAATACAAAACTCCAAGCTTTACTTATTTGAAAAGTTAAGCACTAAATACCCCACAAAACACCCTTGTCTATGTTTGTGATTTGCAGACATTTAAAACAGAAGTAAAAAACAGAAACAACTATATATAACCAGTCTAACTTTTAAAGATAGAAATAATATAAAACATCCTAAAAGACAGTTTAGCCTTAAATAGATTAACATCATACTTTTCAAGGTTTTAAAAAAATGTTAATATCAATAAGGAACACACAAATTCAAGAAGATAACCATAAATCCCAGGCTCCTGGGATAAGCATCAGAGAATACATATATCATTTTTATGCCACATTTAGTTATAGTTACTTATTGAAAAACATCAGGTCAATGCTGACAGATATCCTATTTTTGACTTACCCTCCAAAGATAGTCTAATCCAATTAACTCCAAATCATCCATCATATAGGCTCTTCTTTTTGCTACTAGCTTCCCTTCTCGACAATTCACAGCTTTGAAGAATCTCTCAAAACACTTCATTCCATTTTCAGTTAACAAGGAAGGATCAAGCTGAAGCACATTGCTTTCAAAGAAGTCCTTATTGATATCAGGATCTAAGTCTGGCTCGTCCCCCATTAATTTGGAATACCACTTAAAACAGGCTTCACGATCACAAAGGTAAACTGCATTTTCAGCTAAGCACTTCCATATTTGTTTTGCCTGAGGAGCACACAGCCACAGTTGGCCATCCTTCAATAAAAATCTTAGAAAAACATAAAAAAATTAATTTATTTGACACAACACAACCTACTTGTTTATATATGAAATAATACCTCTATCACAATTTAACTACAAATGTCAGTTCTTTCAAAGAACTTGTCAGTTTTGTTTTTGCTTTTTTGTTGTTGTTGTTGTTTCGAGACAGGGTTTCTCTGTGTAGCTTTGTGCCTTTCCTAGAATTCCCTCTGTAGCCCAGGCTGGTCTCGAACTCACAGAGATCTGCCTGCCTCTGCCTTCTGAGTGCTAGAATTAAAGGTGTACACCACCACTGCCTGGAACTTGTCAATTTTTGTCTGAGTTCCAGGACAGCCAGGATTACACAGAGAAGCCCCGTCTGGAAAACAAGTTTAAAACAAATGTCCTTTAATAAAAGTAAGCATTTCTATCATATAAACAAATATAAGAAGTCTATCCTAAAGCTTAAAATAATGAGGTGAATGTTACAACCCAGGGACTAATATTAAAGCATTCATCAACACAGGAAGACATGGGACTCCCCTCCCCCCTCATACAGGGTTTCTCTGCGTAGCCTTGGCTGTCCTAGAACTCCCTCTGTAGACCAGGTTAGGCTCCAACTCAGCAAGATCTGCCTGACTCTGCCTCCCGAGCACTGGGATTAAAGGTGTGCACCACCACTGCCTGGCTTGACATTCTACTTTTTTTTTTTTTTTTTTAGTTTTTCAAGACAGGGTTTCTCTGTGTAGTTTTGGTGCCTATCCTGGATCTCACTCTGTAGACCAGGCTGGCCTCGAACTTGCAGAGATCCACCTGGCTCTGCCTCCCAAGTGCTGGACACGGGCCTTTTTATGTGGGAAAATAAGATGTGACAAAAGGAAAACCAAAACAAAAAACCCCACCAAAGATAGCGTATTCAAATATCAAACAAACCTAAGAAAGTTAAGTCGTTCTTGGACTTCTTGAACATGACTATATCTACTTCCCAGTCTCACAGTTTGTGGGTCATAGTCTTCATGATCTGCAAATTAAGAAAAATACAATGCATTATTCATATGGATAATCATAACACTGCTGATTTTAACCAATGACCTGTTAAAAAAAAAAAAAACCATTCATTAATCTGGCTGGGGCGGTGGTGGCACACACCTTTGATCCCAGCACCGGGAGGTAGAAGCAGGTGATCTTCCATGAGTTCGAGGCCAGCCTGGTCTACAGAGAGAGCCAGGACTACCAAGGCTACACAGAGAAACCCTGTGTCAAACAAACAAACAAAAAACTACTAATAATTGGTATATTGATAATCGGTGCTTTCCAACCCATTTACTATCCTAACAAAATGTATTTCCTTTGATATAACCCAAAGTAAATGATCTGTTAAATGTGCTATTAAAATTCTCTAGCACAGCCGGGCGGTGGTGGCGCACGCCTTTAATCCCAGCACTCGGGAGGCAGAGGCAGGCGGATCTTTGTGAGTTCGAGGCCAGCCTGGGCTACCGAGTGAGTTCCAGGAAAGGCGCAAAGCTACACAGAGAAACCCTGTCTCAAAAAACCAAAAAACCAAAAAACCAAAAAAAAAAAAAAAAAATTCTCTAGCACAATCCCTTTCCTCTTTCATATGCTCTAAGTTCTGGCCAAGAATATTAGAAGTTATGATGCATCCTCCTGGTATTGCAATCGGAAGGCAGATCCTATCACCTTGAGTCAATCCTCATCATGCTCACTTTGATTACATAGTTGTAGTTTCCACCAGGCTTCTCCACTGTCAAGATACTATTTTTCCTCACTAACATCAGCCCTGCTCTATTCTGTGCTTAGTTCTTAACACCTTGGACATAGAGCTTTATTTATTCAATGGGTACATTTATTTTCATTATTTTGATTCTGTTTTGGCCAATAAAAGCCAAATCCTTCATCCTTTTCACACAAACACAATTCTTTGGTCACTTTCATACTTTTCCCAGTAATATGTCCTTGCTCCAGGCCTGAAAACAGCTCCACTTCTCCAGGTAGGTAGAAAATGTTGACAAAATAATTAATTCTATCTTTAATTGTTTAATTTTCTTTAAAGTCAGGAAGAAACCACCATAGACTTAGTACTTCATAGCTAATAAGGAAGGAAAAATGATGGTAAATTATGTAAATCACATTTCCATTAAGTGTTTAGGTTAGCACATTAACTATCCTACCATTTAGGAAACCAATGAAAACTTCCAATTAAATTACCAATTAAAGCTTCAGTGACAACTGAAAGGTGGTTTACACCTTGCTGTATGCACAGAAAAACTTCAGGAAGACTGGTAAGCATTATGAAAGCACTAGTAGTTGTAACAAATACTGGTAAGAATGTTTAGTAAGTCCATCTTCCTTTATCTAAGAATGCTAACATAGAAGGTGGAGCTGGGCAAAGTGGTGCACACCTTTAGTCCCAGCACTCGGGAGAGGCAGACTGAGGAAGGTGGATTTCAGGACAGCTAGAGATACACAATAAGACCCTGCTGGGTGGGAGTAGAGGGGATTGATAAACACCCAAAAGCAGAAGGTAGAATCTTCTGACCATTTGACTAAGAATATGTCCTCCCCCCCAAGCTGAAGATGCTTGTGGTGATGAAACATGAACAGAACATACTTGCTGTGGAACAATCTTTTTGTACACTTTAAATATTTGTTGCTCTTACTGGTCTAATAAAGGGCTGAATCGCCAACAGTTAGGCAGACAGATAGAGGTTAGGCAGAACTTGAGGACAAAAAAAGGGTGCTGGGAAGAAGGAAGGCGGGGTCGCCACATGAGGCATGCTGAAAAAAGGTACCGCCACATGGTAGATCATAGATAAGAAATATGGGTTAATTTAAGTTGTAAGAGCTAGTTAACCACAAGCCTAAGCTATTGGCCAATCATTTATAATTAATAAGTCTCTGTGTGGTTATTTGGGTTGATAGGACAGAAAACCCTGCCTATATATACTCAATGTTGATGCAATGGTTACCTGTAATTCCGAGTATCAGTAAACTGTGGAAGTCTGACATTAGCCTGCTGAACATCTTATCTATAATGAATTCACACAAAACCCTAACTATGCACAAGCAAGTTCTATAATTTACTACACAATTGCAAATTCAGAAATGTTGGCAGATAGTATCACAGATGTAACTTAATGTGAGTTCAATACGATTTTAGTAGCTTTAAAAATTATCTCTTGCCCATATTGAAATATCTACACTAGAATAGTGTTGTTGAGTTAGAAGAAGAAATGATACAAGGACTGATTAGGACAAAGAGAAGGTGTGTGATGTTGATGAATTTAGAGGAAAGAAAAAATCCAGACCTTACTATGTGCCCCAGATATTGTTTTAGCATAAATAACCTGTTCAAGGTCATAACAGATACTATGTTTGGGTCATTATTTCAGATTCGGGTAATATGTATGCAGACTGACACGTATTCACTTACAGAAATAGGCAATATTAGGAAAAAAACGAATGCAAGCATTCTTGTGACCATGAAACTAAGATGAGGCAGTAATTCATGTAGAATTTGACTCAAATGGAGTAGAAACTAAACTACATATATACCACCTCCTAAGTACCCCAAAGCAGAGTCCCCAACCTCTGACAATGAAATGCAAGTACATAAAAATCAACAGCAAAGCACACATAACCTGCATGACTCTTACATGGGGCAAAGACTGCACTGATAATTACAATGACTCTGTATCACCAAGAGATCATAGAAAAAATACAGTGCTTATGACCTTCTTATTTCTCTCACTGATTATGGTTTTTGTTGGTATAGAACATTTATTCCATATGATTATATACCTATATGGTCTTCAATGTGGTGATGAGAAGGAAATTAAGACTAAAATGACCAAAGAACACCATTTGGTACTCCTCAGCTGCCTGATGTTTAACTATTTTCTGGCACCTCATTAGGAGGACATTCCTGACATAAAAGGGAGAAATTTAAGAGCAGAGTCAACAAAATCAGTAGGGCTATCTTAAGAGTTGACTTTTCATTATGTTTATATGAATTTTTACTGTTAAACAAGTTTGGTGATTTATAAACGCCATGAATTTGATTCAATGCTAAGTCCATTCAATTGACAGTGTTATAAATAGTCACATTTTTAATATACACCATCGCAGATACCAAAAAATATCAAATGAATGGTATATATAGGAACCATGTCTAACTCAGCATGTAATGCTGATAGTATGTGATGTTCTCTATGGCTGTGGGAACAAATCAGAACCTATGAGATGGTTTTTCTTTAGGGAGTGCTGAACTATAAATTTGGTGTAAGACAAAGGTGAATGTGTACTAAAAAGCACACCAGTTTAGAGATTCTGACATGGCAGTTTAGAAGGCAAAATGTTGACCTAAGGCTCCACACATGGATGGCACTTAAAAAGGCTTACAGAAAACATGTTTTCTTAAAAGGTGATGGTGGTGTAGTAATAAAAAAATCAGGCACGTATCTCAAAAAGTTCTAAGAAGAAATTCTTAGTAGTGACTTGCAGAACTACAAATAGGGAAGAAAAAGAAATTATATTTTAACTGGGTAAGGCAAATACTGAGTAAAAAGTTTTGAATGCTAGACGGATGTTTAAGTTATATAAGATCTGGGAGTACGCGTGGATCTTAAGTAATGAAATAAGAATTCATAAAACCAATTGCCCTGAGTTTTTTGTTAATTTTTAAAACAAAATTGTCATTCCTAAGATAATAATGGAAAACAGCAATCACTGTTACTTCCCATCATTCAGTTATCTTACAATACATACCTCTGGCATACAGTCTCATGCTTTCCATGTAAGTTGCAAGGTTTTCTGCTACCAAAGTAACTAGGGCATGATTGTGCTGAAGTTGATTGATTAAGTCATGACGATAAAATACATGAGGACTTCGCTGAGTTTGACTGAAACGAGAAGAGCTTAACAATATAATTAGGCAATTAAACTCTGTTGCAATCAAGAGTTTTACAACTAAATTCTTAGCTACTAATTAAAAAAACTCAAAAGCCAGGTTTGCTCATTTACTTCCTTTACTGACAATATTAAGCAATTAAAAAAATTAATGTGTCAAAAATAAGTATTAGATTACTTGAAAATCAAATATCAGTTTATTTACTTCATAAGGAGTCTACCCCAATAACTATGTCTACTCTCATAATATGGCAGTAGGTAAGCATTTGTGTTAGGACACAGGGTTATTTGAAAAATACAAACATCTAAACTTTATATAACTAGCATTATAATTGCTAGTTCATGCTTTTATAAATTTTTATTAGAGGCGAGAAAGATGGCTTAGCAGGAAAAGGTACTTGACACCAGCTTGAAAACCTGAGTCTGACTCTCATTATTCTCACCGTGGAAGCTGAGAACTAACCCCTAAGGTTGTCCTCCAACTGCCACACAAACAATGTAGCATGAGTCCCTACCCACAGCCCCCAAAATAAAAATGTAAAAAAAAATTTAAAATTATTAGCTATTTAAGTTATACACTGGGCACATGTGGTTTGTAGCTAAGTTGTTCTTGTCACCGGAAAGATAGTTCCTTTCTAATTTGTTTTGGCATTCTCTGAAACTAGTGAACTTTCATAGCTATCACTATATTCTATAATATAGAAGGTCACTAATTTCTAGAAAAGTAGCTAAATACTACCTAGAAAGCAACATATTTGAGAAAGGTCAAGTGGCATATGTATACTGGGCCAAACACACTCCAAATAGACTACTTTGATAAACATTACTCCCCCCCAATCTATTACACATGAGAAAACGTGATTATTTAGAGTGTGTTCCCAAGATTAAATGACTGTATTGTTTGCATTATGAATATCAGTTCTACTACACTTAGCTCTTTATTTCTATGCCAACCACACTAACTACATTCCCTGAAAATAAGAGGACAATTCATTTCAGTAAGCAGATTTTGGAACCTAAGATAGTGCATTTATTTCACTAATTTACTTTTAAAAATATTTATTTTCATTACATGTGTATGAGTGTTTGCCTATATTTGTGTCTGTGCAGTGCTTACTAAGGCAAGAAGTAGGCACGGAATCCCCTAAACCTGGAGTTACAGATGGTCATGAGTTGAAGTTGAGTTCTTGAAAGAGTATCCAGTACTCTTAACCACTGTACCATCTCTCCAGTCCCCAGTTTTGTTTATTTATTTACTTGAAATAAGGTTTGACTGTTTCATCCTAGCTGGCCTGGAACTCACTATGTAAACCAGCCTGGCCTTGACCCACAGAAAACCATCTACCTCTGTTTCCTGAGTGGTTGGGCACCACCATGCCTGGCCTAAGACAGTATACTCAAGGATTGATATTAAAAAGTTCAGTGCTCTATCATTTAAGTTTCTATGTAATTCAATCTTCTAAATTAACTTTAAAAATTTACTACTAAAAAAATTACTTTTGAAAACTATCATGTGACAGCCTGAAACAGCAGTATCACCTTCTGATACTGATCATTTCCTCAAAGGAAGTAGGAATGATATTCTTTTGTTCCAAACGAGCCCTTCTGTCAGTTTTCTGTCATTCCATTAATTTTCATTTTTTAAAATTTATGTATTTATATGTATAATAATGCTCCATTTGCATGTATACCTTTATGCCAGAAAAGTGCATCAGATCCCACTATAGATGGTTGTGAGCCACCATGTGGTTGCTGCGAATTGAATTCAGAGCCTCTGAAAGAGCATTCAGTGCTCTTAACTGCTGAGCCATCTCTCTAGCCCTTGTTAATTTTCTTTAAAATTTGATTTTACCAACTGAAATTAATAAAACATATAAATAAAATATTCTTATTGTTTAGTTTTAAAAGTCTTACCTCAAATTTTGAGGCGCTTCACCAAACAAACTACAAATTTCTCTAATTTGCTTCAGTGCAGGAATGACCCATTTGTCATTTGTGCGAAGTTCTTCTATAAAGCGATCTATCCATTGGATCTTTTGTGTGTCCCGGTCCTTAAACAATTTCAAGGTTTTATATAAATCAATACTCAGGAGAATTCTAAGTCAGAGTATTTAAAAATCAATGTACATTAAAGTGAAATTAAGCTAAATTCCAATTATCCATGGAATTAGAAAATCAGTTTTTCTTATAGGATTAGCATGATAAATATTTTACTTTCTGTAATTGTAAGTAAAAGGTTTAATTTTTTTAAAAGTCCTCTAAGCGTGTCTTAGCTTCACATTTACTACCAAACTCTAAAAAAAGTAAAACATCAAATTAACTACATACATTCAGTATAGTTTGATTTAAAATTTGCCAGGTTTGAGTTTTAATGTTTTAAATTAAGAGATTTTACCTCATCACAGAATCATGTAACACCATGATGAAATCATCTACTATTTAGGAAATTCTAATTATTCTGAATCTTTTATGAACAAATAAAACATTTAATCTCCAAAGTCTCTACCTAACTCCGCTTCAATTTTCTATGGTCTATTTGAAACTAATATTCCTTTACTGTACATCTGACAACACTATCCCTAAATGACCTATTGCTTGTACTTTCTCCCAAAGAGACTCAGATGGCTCACAAAAAGTTATTGTAGAGATGTTAAGAAAGGCAGACTCAGAACCATCAATTCTTGAAATCATTTAAAAGATAATGCCAGAATAACCTAAAATTATCCTGTATTTAAGCAACCCTAACACTGAAGGAGCAGGAAAGTCACAAAACCAAACCAAACACCATCCCCTTACCTGGGAGCAACTATAATCTAGTATTTTGATATGAGCACTGAGAGCCAGGTCCATGATATCTACAGGCACATCATCACTGTGGGCGAGATTCCACAGAAGGTTCAATACTTTATGTGCCATCACACCATCTTTATCATCTTCTGCAAGACGACGAATTAGCTCAAGGAGCTTTTCACGTTGTTTTTTACTTGCATTTGTCCAACTGGCCTAGAAAGACATTCAATGACATGAAAATTTGAAACTGGTTTTGTCCTCATCTTTTTTATGGTTGGTGTGGATAGAGTAGTAGCATCCTCTATACATTGAGTTCCAAGGCAGCCAAAGATACACAGTGCAACCCCCAACTCAAAACAAAACAAAGTGCTTGTTATTTAGCAAGTTCTTGATAAGCATTAATTAACTCACAGGGGAATCAATCAATCATTAAAAAACTAATCATTAAGGAATTATCTGAAGATTATCCTGGGAGGAAGAGGTCCCAGTGGTTGTAATGACAATTATTCTATTTCTTTCTTTCAAGTATGTCACTGGTTATGTATTACCACCATTTCAGGAGTAGCTCAACATTAAAAATGAATTTAGGGCATTCACTGATTACATTATTTCCTCAGCTGTTTTTTAACATACTTCAAAAGATGGGAAAACCGTACACAGCAAGTTTTATCTTTGTATGTGTAAAATGTGTAAGATGATATTTAAAAACACAAAAATGTTCATTTTATACTTTGTTCCTTTCAAAGCAGTGAAATTCTCAAGACACAGATTGACAACTGAGAAGTTCACTGAAAATATGGACTTCTAGAGCCAAGTGGTGGTGGTGCACACCTTTAATCCCAGCACTCAAGAGGGGAAGGTGGATCTCTGTGTTCGAGGTGAGTCTCATCTACAGAGAGAACGAGTTCCAGGACAGGACAGCCAGGGCTACACAGAAAAACCCTGTCTTGAAAAACCAAAAAGGCCTTTTAGGTTATCTAGTGACTGACACAATATGCCCGGGCTAGAGGGTAATTTTTCCCCCACTGTGGAATATACATTCACGATGTAAACGTGTTTCTTTAAGAGTACCCAGTGTAGACATCAACATAAGCACTACCTACATTAAAAATCACACATGGTAAACAGAACCTAAGGAGCCGTCTGGAACTATTTCTGAAGTTTATGCTAATTTAATCAAGGTACAGAAGTTATTATGTGGTTTTAGTCCTTTTTCAGTGTTCTGCCAACGAGATTCATCCATGTTGTTAAGTCATTCCAGTTTGCTTATTTCCACTGCCATGGAGAATTCCATTATATGGACATCCCTTATATATCCTCTCTACATAGCTATTTGTAGCTATTATAAACCACTTCAGTTCAAATGTTTTTGAACATATACTCTGATGCACATATGCAAGAATCTTGAGGTGTTCAGGGTTAAATGACAGCCTTGTAATGCTAGGCAAGCATTCTATTGCTGAGCTATGCTAATATTCCCAGAATGTTGTACGCCATCAGAAATACCACTTAACCTTCCAAAGTGTTACAGTAAGTGATATACAGAGTCAGAACCATTATTTTTAATAGCAATACTTGGTGATCTAATGCCAGTTAATAGGCCCTCCCTTTGTGAACACTCATAGTGTCTTATATTCTTAATCCACCAAGTTGAATGACCAATTAAGCATTCACTGAGTCTCAGCAACTGATAAGAGACTGTTAACACTATATAACTTGAAGATACATGACGAGACCATTTCGAATACACCTGTAATGATCTTGGCGCTACCTTCTAAACTACATTTCTATTAACTTGTACTTGACCTCAGTATATATCCCTAGAACACCATGGTAGTTGCTACTCCTTTTCCTGTCATCTCTTATGTTTCTCATAATCATCCTTCCTACTTTACTACAGTTTTTACTTCAACCTATTTCCAAAACACAGAATGGGAAAAAAATCCAAAATGGTAACAAGAGTTTTGAAAAGGAATGAGAGTCCTTATTAGGGCTATTAGCACTATTACGAAAATGAAAATCAAGTTCTCATGGGTAAAGAAAACAGTGGCAAAATCCTTCACACCAGATAAAGCCCTTCATATCAGAGACGGTCTTATGAGATTTTAATTGTTTGTTGACTAACAAAAACTTGTAGTTCTAATGAATCAATTCTATCTAAAATTAAAATGGTAATAACATCACTGCGTTGGTAATTACCTTAAAGCAATCAAACAGATGATCAAGTTGTTCAGGAGAAAAATCCCATGCTAATTTGGCCAGTAGATCATGTACATTCTTCACAATGGCTTCATGTTTCCCTGCCTATTGAAAAATTAAAAACAAAGATCATAGCATGCTCGACTGTGAATAACAGAAACACATACACTGACAGCTGATGACCATCAGGAGGAATTTACCACAATCTCCATTCAATCATTACATAAAATTCTTAACATCATTAATTTCTTAGACCTAAAATTTGACAATTCCATTTCTGCATATACATAATTAATATGTACTTTAGAAATTCCTATTAACCTGGTTATTTTTCAGATAGGGTCTCCAAGCTGTCCTGAAACTTGCTCTGTAGACAAGGCTGGCTTTGAACTCATAGAGATCCATCCACAAGCCTCAGGCCTCTTGAGTGCTGGGATTAAAGGTGTGTGCCACCACCGCCGAGCTTAATTTTTTAATTATAGTTTATCGAATATACTAAGATTTTAATGCCATAAACAAGAAACATTATTTTTCCCAAACTGGAATTTTCTTTATTTCTATAAACTAAAAAAACTGTTTATGTAGATTCTGGCTCTTAAAAATTTTTCTAAAAAGGTTGCTAATCCTTCTGAAAAGATTTAAGTCAATGGGAATAAATAATTTGAACGATAACTATACTGAAGGGTTTCAACGTCTACTAAGAAGTCAATGATGTATATTTTTCCAACAGGTATACTTGATTTTGTGGTACTAAGGCCAAGTATAATGCCACTGGGCTGTATGCTTCCCTACCCCTTGTTTTCTGGGTCAGAATCTTCCTTTGTAGCCTAGCCTGGTTTCCAACTCACGATTCTCCCCATTTTCTACTTCCCATGTGCTGAGATTGCAGATATACACAAGCACACTCAGCTTCCCTATTTTACTTTTAGTCTGTTTAACTTTGTCTAAATATGAACTGTTGCATATTTAAGTATTACTGACAATTATCGGGAAGGTACTAGATGAATTTCTACAAGAAGTATTTTAATGTTTCAAAACCATTACCTGTGCTGCCCAGATATTATCAAGATCTTGCAAGGTCAGAGCTTTTTCTTTGATGACAAAACGAAGAATCTTTTCTAGTTTCTCTACATATTGTGGTTGATGAAGACTATCTCGTAAAACAATGGATAAAATATTGTTCTGTTGTATCCATTCCTAAATGTAATTTAAAAAACAGGTTTCAAAACAAACTAAAATACAAACACTTTTAAAACATACCATTAATATAACATAAACAATTTTTAGGAATCCTAAAGCATATTTACAAAATAGTGTACATCCAGGCCTTGTCATCACAGAAAATTACTTTTAAAAATCTACAGTTTTTACCCCTGAAAAGGAATCTTGACGTGTAACACAGGTTAGTCTTAAATTTGTTATCTTCCTTCCTCCACTTCCATCCCAATTGCTGGGATTAATCTGGGATTAAAGTTGTGAGCTACCACATCTAACACAGTAATTTACTAGAGCATCTTCACCAATTATAAAAACTCAAATCATTAAAAATATTCTAAGTTGGCGGTGGTGGCACACACCTTTAATCCCAGCACTCAAGCAGAGGCAGGCGGATCTCTTTGAGTTTGAGGCCAGCCTGTTCTACAGAGTGAGTTCCAGGAGAGGCAACAAAACTGCACACACAAACCCCGTCTCGAGACAACAACAACAAACAAAATATTCTGAATTACAGCATTAAACTCACAAAAACATCATTTAAATGCAATGAAACACTAAGGTTTAGGTAGAATGAACATGAACCAACTTTGGTATCCTTAGGCTCTTTACACTAAAGCTAATTCTGCCCCAGAATGGTTTTAATCTTAGGTCAAAAGTTACTTTTTAAAGACTTATTTAGTAATTGATTGCCATGGACCAGACCCTACCTGTTGCTTAGCCACCCACCTCTTGCATCTTTCCAACAATCCCTGTGTTAGCATAGTAAACAGGTTTGCAGATTCCAGTTTGGGACTGGAATCTGAACCAAGTCTGCATGCTTCCATTGTCTATTCCCGTAATACTGTGCTAGTCTAGACTGTAGCGTGACAGTTCTTTACCTTCAACCTCTTGTTGTTTTACTTCAAGAATAATAAAGGAGGACTCAGGATTAAAAAAAAAAAGACAATCCACAAAGTTATGAGTGTATACTATTCAGCTTTCTGAGAATAAAGGAAGGTGGGTCCAAAATGTACCAAAAATATGAATTTTTAGCTAGTAACGGACAACGTTTTGAAAAGCCAAACTTGTTAAGGGATTTTCCCCCTAAAATATAACAAATGAATGTCAAACTACTACAAAAAGTTTTACACATTTAATGTCATTTTCTGCAAGTTCTAGGATGAGTCATACAGCTAATTATTTCCCCATTAACAAAAAAGACCCTTAGAGGTAAAGATACTGTTTGCTACAGATGTCTCATGACTTTCACATATGTACTCAAATAACATGGGTTTTATCATTTAAATGGTAAGTTATTCATTAAAGTTGTAATATGTAAACTATATGGAAAATAGTTTTCTAAGTATTAATGCAAAAAGGATATAAACTTAAGCACTTTAAAAACAAATTCCCCAAATCAAGAAAAACTAATTTATGTAGCTCATATTCTAATATTATATATATACACACATACACACACACACATACATATACATATATATTGGTTTTTGAAGACAGGGTTTCTCTGTATAGCTTTGGAGCCTGTCCTGGAACTCACTCTGTAGCCCAGGCTGGCCTCAAACTCACAGAGATCCACCGGCCTCTGAGTGCTGGGATTAAAGGCCTGTGCCACCACCACCCAGCTAGCTAGCTAGATAGCCTGCCTCTGCCTCTCCAGTGTTGAGATTCCAGTTGTACACCACCATACCCATCTGTGTATTTCATGATTTAAGCCATTAACTGGAATTGGTCACATGAACAGGCCCCTTTCTTCAATCATGTTCAAATATTATCTCCCATATTCCCTTTTGATCAATTTCCCAGTTTATAGCAAAACTCACACTAAACTAATGATTACATTCAACAATAAATTTATCACATAATCAGCTACCAAATAATTATGCTACTTTAGGAAGTTTGAGACTAACGATCCTGTAAATTTAATCAGAACAACATTCAAATTTCAGTGACCGCCATTCCAGGTTTAAGTATTTCTTTAGTTAAAAAACAGTAAAAGGACTCACGGCCATCCTCTCTGCCGTGAGCCACTCCTCTTCCTCAGGATTTCCGTGCCGATGGGTATAGTACGACACACTAGAAATGACCTTATTAACTTCATTCAGTGCGTTCATCTTTCCATTGAAAGAAGAAATTTGCAATAATCTGTAAAAGAAACTCAGTTTGACATTGATTGTAGAAATTCCTGTACATGATTACTTCCAAAGATTAAGTTACCTAACTTACCTAAGTATCATTTTTAACCTAAATATTTCTAAGTTCTTTACAGTTTCTTCTTGTCCAGGAACCCGGGAAGCTAAATTCTTCAAAGATTTAATAATCATTGAAAGAGCATCATTTTTGGCTTCATTCTTTGCTTCTTTCTTCAGTTCTTCATCAGTTAAGTTTTCTAAAAACTGTGGAACCATTTCTATTATTGGAAGAAAGTATTTTTTCACTGTGTGAAGAGTGAGAAACTCATAGCACTGTCCGAATGGTCTGAAATAAGAAAAAAAAAAAAAAACTCCTGTAAATACTCAATTTCTTAAAATCAATTTAGTAAATTCTCACAGTACATGTAGTATTTTTAAAAACACCCAAATAACAACTAAGAAAAATCTGCACTTCAACTACTACTTGTTTTTAGATTTTGTGTGTGCGTGTGTGCGCGTGCACTTGGATGGTAATATGTGTGTGTGAGTGCAGGTACCCTCAGGGGCCAGAGCTATCAGATCCCTTGGAGCTGGTGTTAAAGACAATTGTGAGCCACTTGCCTTAGGTGCTGGGAACCGAACTCAGGACCTCAGAAAGAACAGCCACTGAACTAACCACTGAGACATCTCTCCAGCCTCATTACTCCATTTCCTTTTTCTCTCCCCGCCCCGCCCCGCCCCACCCCCCAGGAACTGAGGACAGAACCCAGGGCCTTGCGCTTTAGATAAGCGCTCTATCACTGAGCTAAATAAATCCTCAACTCCCTCCATTTCTTAACTGAGCCAAAATAAAATCAGAAACTAACAGAAAACTGAACATT